TATTTAATTAAGTGAAAATAAAATGAAGTGACCAAAATGATTCCATACCTGCTTTCCCCTCCCTGAGCGCTTTCTTCTACTTCTTTACCAGATCTACAGCAAAGGAAGCACACGATGGTGCAGACTCAAATGAGCAAACAAGTGTGCTAAGGAAAAAGGGGTATTGTTGTCATTGCACAATGCAGTCACTAGGAATTCAACATTCCCTTCCAAGTATAATCCCAAATATTTCAGAGCAATGATCTTAATCCAGGCCTGGTTCAATCTCTCTGCGGAATTAATTATTACAAAATCTGATTGTATTATTGGCCCAAGAAAATCTAATTAGGCCTAGTTCTAGCTAATTGATTTCTAAGCCCATCCACCTTCGATTAGGAGGGTCTACCTTCTAGGTTAGGTTAATTAGGACCTGTTTGTTTAGGTTTAACCCAAAAGAATGATTTTGAGTAACTTATTATACGAGAGAATTGTTGAGAAAATCTTAGACTAAACAAGATGTGTTAAAAAAGTACGTTTCCAGCTTATTTTGAAATCAAAATTACCCATCAAACTATGTTTGAAACATATTTTCTTGCAATAATCCTCATGTTTGGATTAAATTGTTCCCCCAATAATTTCTCTATGTATCTTAATCAAAATCTCCTTTTTGTTATGTTTAAACTAACGGGCCTGAGATTTTGCTCTTATAAATGACGTTGGGTCCAACTCAACACCAAAATAACAGGAAGTTGCTGCTTGAATCTCACAATATAATGTCAATTCAGCACAAAAAAGGGATGCCGACTACACAATATCGGTTATTAGCATTCTAGATATGCCACATATTTTACATATAATATCTCTCATATTTATATTTTTTTTATTTTTACTGTAAGAGCTACTTAACTACTGTAAATATATTTAAAAAAATTAAATAAATTACTTATTTATGACAAACTAGAATGATTTTTCTAAAATATCCCTATATAAGATTAGATCATACGTCAGTTTATAACTTAGAAAAATTAATTTGAAAAAAATGATAGATAAAATGAGTTGAGATGTAACAGTTAGGACCAAACCAACTTGCTAATTGACTTCTACATGTAAAACCAGAAGAGTATCACGTAGTTCAAGCTATACTTATAATTTCTTTGTTGAATAAAAGTGTTGTAATTTTAAGCTATAAAAATAAATAAGTAGCTTTAGATATTTGGCAGAAAAGAAGAAAAGAAAAGGAAAGGAGTTGATTATCAAAAAAGAAAAGGTTAATATAATCTTTGATCCCTTAAGTTTGTCTTCATTTTGGTATTGGTCCCTCAAGTTTCAAATTATTGGTTTTGGTCTCTCCAGAGGCAAAATGGTCTAGGTTTTTATTGAATTATAGAGACCAATATTTTAAATAAAAAGAAACTCAAGGGACCTAAATGTATTGTTTAAAACTTAAGGAACCAAAATTAAAATGAGGACAAATTTAAGAGACTAAAAATTGTATTAACCCATGAAAAAAAATTAAAGGAAGGGAACTATAATAAGACTAGACTCATGAGTCACTAACTCACTGTATATATGTTTTCCGGCAAGAATAACTTTTTGACGGTTGAGGCCGAAAAAGGAAAAGAGAAGAAACAACTTTGAGTCTCTTATTATATTATCATGTGAAGCAGTACATGTGAGCATATTTCATTATATTGTATGTTGCCCACCCAGAAAATTCCAAAGTTTGGTTTGTTGGAAGGATTTTTCCTTTTTTTTATGGAAATGGAATGGGAAAGGGAATCGAAAAGGAAACATGAAAATGAATGGAGAAGAAAAAATAGCGAAAAGGAACAAAAAAGAGAGCAGGACTGAGTTTTATCATTATGTTTGATATATGACTAAAAAAATTAATGAAATGAAATCTCTATGTATGTATGTATGCATGTATATGACTGGAAGCCAGAAACATTGAACAGATTGGTGAGAATTATATTTCTCTTAATGTCCTAATACAACTGGAGCCAAATGGGAATCTGGCAATTCCCTTTCCCTTCCCATTTCCAAAGAACAAATTCCTTCCAACCAAACAGGCCTCAATTATTTTTTTTTTGTGAGAATTATATTTAATTTCTCTTTATTTCGTTTCATGCCAGAAGCTTTCACGACAAAAATCACTTTTTTCTTTCCATTTATATGGTGATGGGAAAAATTTCCCTCGAGATCGTCACCCAATAAAAAAAAAACTAGCAGTCACTTTTTCTTAATTCCATGAAAAAAAAAGTATGCGTAGTGCAAAACTTTAAAAGAGAAGGAATGGCTCAATCAAAACGACCATTTTCTAATTTGTTGCCTATGAAGGAGAATGATAAGAGCACATCGTGTAAAGACAAGAATAACATCGTAATGAAAATAATAATTTAACTAAGTCCATTACTAATTCAATCTTTAAATTAATTAAGATAAGATGTTAGTGCTTTCACTCAAGGAAAGTAATATTCCTAAAATACATAAGTGTTATCCTTGAATTTACAAGAGCCGATGCATAAATTCACAAAACTAATCTATCTACGATTGAATTTTCATTGTCATTATCAAGTATTAATAATTACTTGATTTTCATTGATGAATCAATTTCAGTAATAAAATTTATAACAAATGATACTATTTTTAAATTTTAAATAATGCAACTCATTTTTTAAACTCCTTATAATACATAAGAAAATATTGGCCCTATGGCGAATGCTCTTCTAAAACATTTTACCTCTCACTCTAAACAATGTTATTACACATTTTCTAATTTCCTTCGTCCCTTCGGAATATTTTCCAAAGCGAGATGACATGAGTGTAGTTAATGAGCTGTGAAGGCTAATTATTCTTTGATCTTTTTTCTATTAATACCATAAAGATGTCTGATACAAAAGAAAAACAAATTATTCCCAGAATCATGAAGTTATAATCTTGTGATAAAAGATGAAGAAACTTCGCTTTCTGGGAAGGGAAACTCATTTTTTTAATAGATTATATGGTCCCGTTTTCTCATTTAAAGCAATCTAGTTTGGAAAATAAAGATGTAAAAGTCTAAAAGATGAAGAAATAAAATGTAGCCGATTCTTTTTCTGCTGATCATTTTTCAAGAGTTTATACACACACACACACAAGCGCGCGCGCGCGCACGGGTGCGGGCGCTTGAGATATTAAATTTGTCACATTTAGTGAATTGTGTATGATACCTATTATTTCCATTTAATACACTTCCTCATTTCTCTGAAACATAGCTTTGGTAAAAACTAAACAAAGCAAGAAGGTAAACGTGTAAAAAGCACACTTTACTAGTATTACAATAACAAAACAAAAAATTTGCAAGGAAGAGAACTTGAACATTTCCAATAATGATATATGGTTATAAATGTTCGAGTGATTAGAACAAACTAGGTAGATATAATTCTTAGATAATATTGATTAAAAAAAAAGTCAAGAGATGGGTTGTTATGGTTCTTGACCTGTGGGTCTCCCACTAAGCATATAATTATATATCCAACTTCACATTCAATTCAATAATGGGAGATTTTTACCGTAACACAGTGCTTCACCTTTGGAAGAGACCCACTTCATTAAAAGAAATGAATGAAGGAAGGAGACAAGAAGCTAGTCATATTTCTTTTTGTTCATATGTTTAATTAGAGCATGCATAATGCATTACTTTAGATAAAGAGAAAGAAGCGACTCAATCAATTGATGACCTTATATAGTAGGACTATAATTAAATGGGGAATAGGAAGGGCACATCGAACAAAGATGACAAAGATAACATAGTAACAAATATAATAATCTAGCTCAGTCCATGAATTAATGATCATCTTTAAACTAGCATGTTAATGTATCCACACGTGGAAAGTTTCTTTAGTTTTCTTGGTCTTATCACTATCGCAATCAAATACGAAATGGACGAAGAAATGATGTCCTATAATTATTATGTGTACATATATATATATATATATATATGATCGTAACAATATATTTTGTTGGCCAATTTCAACCTTTTCCTGCGTCATCGCAAAGTAAAGATATTACACAGAATTGGAAAAATCGCGTAAAACCCATAGCTAGGACTCGCCTGATGGATGCGCGTGTGTGTGTGTTAGAATCCTCGTAGATTTTATTTTCTATTGAATTTTTCTTTTATTTTATATTCTTGTGAAAGGAATATCTATGCCCACCCACGAAATTAAACTTCCAATAAGCAATCTCTTTCTGAAGCAAGCGAGATCGATCATTATGAGTATCACAGCATTCCAAGTATGCTTTTTTTTCCCCCCAAAAAAAAGGGAAGAAATCATATTGTAAAGATTTCTTATGATAGGACTGTGACCATATTTGGCATCTCCCCAGAAATGTTTAAAGGAAAAAAAAAGGGAATCCATTAGCAAAGAATGTTTGGCACATTATTGCAATCTTGCAATATAATCAAGCATGGGCGGTATGCAATGTAGTGTGCTTCCTTGGCGATTTGATAAATCTCTTTTCATTCTTTCATTATTTTTGGGATGCCAAATAAATAATTGCAGAAGCATATGCCTATATTTCTTTTCATACCATGCAAAATATAATTCATTTCATCCATCCTATCCCTCGAATTTCATTGTTTCTTTTTCTTTTTCATTTATAACTTTTATTATTCTCCATCCCAGCAGACGAGCAATCCCATACATATAGAGCTTTGAGAAACGAGCTATGTTATTTGCAACATGCATGTGAATAGAATCATATAAATATATATATTATGTTCTACATCAATGACAGATTTTTAGATTATATAATAAATATATATGTCATATTCTACATTAATGAAAAGTTTTTAGATTATATACCAACGTTATATCACACACTCTTATAATTATATTCACGTACAGAAAAGCATATCGATCAAGTAGACCCATCGCTTTATTATTGTATAATACAAAGATGAGTACATTCACACACATCTGAGCACACATTGATTAACACTACTGCCTCACAAAGTGGATTATCGGTGACACTGGAATCTACATCGCCATTTTCTCAAGTTGAGGGATTACTATAGGACTTCTCACTCTGTGCTTGCCATCAGTCCAAGTCAACTCTCCAAATGAAGGTTCCGAAGTTTTGGCTGAACGTGATGCCTGCAAAATAACCATATAGCTCTTCTTCTGGTTTGTCCTCTGGAAGGTCAAAGTTGTCGGAAGAATAGCAACCTTAAATCCTCTTGGGGCTTTGACATTTACAGTGTATGTGCTTGGAGGCCCAACATTTGTTACTGTACGAGTAACATTGATAGGTTTCACACCCAAAAAAGGCAATGTGATGGAAGGGTAGTTGAAGTCTTCTAGTCTGTAAGACCTTGGACATTTGTATGGCCTATTATAATTAATGGCTTCAATTATTCTTTTCTCATAAGCAGAAAAGCATAACAAGTTGAGGTAATCAGAAGTGGTGAGATCATAAACAAGTCCAGGGTCTATTGCAAGGTTGGGTCTCACGAAGCCTGTACCATATTGAAATGGAGTTGCTATGCTACCATCTTGTTCGTCCAGAATCCGTCTAATGGTGTTATCCAGTATGCTTGCTGTAACAACATAGGTTTTTTTTTTAATAATCGTTAGAAAAGGAGAGAAAGCAAATTGTAAAAATGAAAAACCGAGACTAATGCATGTTATACCAGTGGTCATGATTGCTGACTTTATCATTGCAGGACTCCAATTAGGATGACGATTTTTTAGAAGACCAGCAATGCCAGAAACATGAGGACATGCCATGGAAGTTCCGGATAGAATATTATAGTCAAAGTGAGCTTCGTATGAGTCTAGGTTGGTAGGACTTGCAGCAGATGAATATGCAGCAACTATATCCTGACCTGGCGCGGTTACATCAGGCTGTAAAAAGTAAAAAAGGAAAGAATGCTAAGACAATATATATACACACATATATTTAATGACTGGCGGGAGAGACTAATTGAGAATAGATCAATAACCTTGAGGATTGTGGGAAGAATCACGTTGGGTCCCCTTGATGAGAAGGCAGAAACTCTTGGAGCTGGCCTTACTGGTATAAATGTTTTTGCATTATTCAAGAATGCAACTGGGTTCCTGCAATATATGTGTATATAGGAATGGACGAGCCCTGTAACTAGAAATATTTTCAAAGCAATTCCAAATAGATTGAAGAACGAGAAAGACGTATTATAATTACTTGTTTGTGTTGAAATATTTGGGGGTTGCTGGGAAAGGCGCTCGAGGGCCTGGTGGAGCTTGAGGGAGATTGGACGAGTCAATAGGCTGAACATCAGCTGTAAGCGTGTTCAGTTCCTTGTCATTTTCTAAAATCATTTTCAACGCGCCTACACGCTTTGCTTCTTGGCCCTTCTCCACAGGCCTCAGGCTCCTTCCTCTTTGGCACACTAATATACGACCCCTTACTTTGCGAGGATCAAGGGTTCCAGTTCTGCAAAGTTGACTGCAAGAGAAGTATTCATAGTTAGGAGAGAAACATATGACAGTTTAACACGCAGAGAGAGCATCATGAATTGCGAAATCCATTCATTCTTACGCATCTTGAAATGTTGCATTAGGAAGCCTGACATTGCCAGCAATCACCACAGGAATTAACCTCTGTGATGTCGAGTTTGTGGCAAGACTTGTGCCCTGATCGATATATATATATATATAATTAATGTCGATAATCATAATACATAATTAATGTGAAAGAACAGAAGCGAACGATGCGAACCTTCAAGCGTTGCCCATTCCCAAGAGTAATATTGTTGCTGAACTCTCTGTCTATGGAACCAGCAGCAATAGTGAAGATCCAAGGCGCCACATTCGACACCGTCTGGAGTTTTGGTCCCTCGTTACCCGCCGAGGTAACAACCAGGATTCCCCTGGCAACCGCATGGAAGGATCCTATGGAAATGCCATTGGTCAACATGTCATTAATATTTGGCACGGGGCTACGACCAATGGAAACGGAGAGGATATCAACGCCGTCATCGATGGCTTGATCAAAAGCAGAAAGCATATCTTCATCAGTGCAATCTTCAGAACTATAACTACCCCAGCAAACCTTGTACACAGCAAGACGAGCTCTCGGAGATCCTCCCTTGGCTGTTCCATTCCCGTTGTTGAGAACACTTACGTTTCGAACGAAGTTGCCACCGGCCGTCGACAAAGTATGGGTCCCGTGTCCGACGATGTCACGGGCGCTTGTATGGTCAAGGCTCCCGTGTTTTATCAGGTACGCTTTGTAGAAGGTTTTTGCTCCAATGAGTTTCCTGTTTGATACACACAGTACTATACTACGTATTAAATCATTCTTGATAATATTGAAAAGTTTATATATGATACAAGAATAAAGTTAGGAAAGTTGTTGTATTTTAAGGAAAAAAATTAATGTAATTTAATATTTTAATTGATCTGTGTTAAACATATTAAAAATGTTTTATAAATAGAACTAGATTAGGATATTATTTTTATTTATAAAAACCCAAGCATTAATCAAACCTGTTGCAAAGAGTTCTGTCACGTGGGCCAGTCAGACTATAAAGCTCGCATTTTGATCCTCCACGCCACTTCTTTGGAACGGGACCGTACCCATTATCTCGGAAGCTTTTCGATTCTGGCCAAACACCTTGTCCAATAAAACAACTCAATGATAAAAATTCTGAAGTTTTGTTGCAAATTTTTAGAGAGTTATAGGAACTTAAATAGCTTAGTTATGAACTAGACTACTAGAGAGATATATAGATAGATTTCATTTCATTTGCAAATAGTACGGTTAATTACCGGTATCAAGACTGCCAATAATCACATTTTGACCAAATCTTCCTTTGACCCAGGCTGAGTCAGCTCTGACCCTTCCATTTCTTTCTTGTCCCAGAAACCCCCATGACCTGGTTGTATGCAGCTTGTGCGATTGGCTCAAGAACACCGACACTACTTTTGGATTTTCTGCGTCCATTATCCATCCATCTTATATCAATGATCACTATCGATATCTAATATACCATTTACATAATCTACGACATATATAAATATATATATATATAAGGGTACGAATCTCTCACTCTTGATCTCTGCTGCCTCATCCTCTTCAAGTAATGCAGCGAAGCCATTGATGTGTCGGTTATATGAGTAAAAGATGGCTTCTTTGGCCCTTTCATGGCTGTCAAATCAAACATGTAACTGTTAAAACAAGTAATGTAAACATAGGATTCTTCAGAGAAAGAGGGGTTAATTATGCCATTGAAAATAATTGAATTAGTGGTTTGATTTTAAATTAAGAGAATAAAGATCCAAAAACTGAAAAGAAAGAGAGAAATGGTAGCTTTGAAAATGAGTCACAAAGGTTTATGAAACTTGCATGTACCTTCCTAGGACGGAGGCAAGCAATTCATAATGGGAACTTGTGGCAAAGTCCATATCAGCAGAGGAAGGTTTTGGGCCATGAGAATGTGACCCCAAGTATACAACGTACGACTGCAACATGAAATTGATTAAGGTTGTTGACGAAGAAGACGACGAAAGGAATAATACTACTATTAATTACGAACCAAGTGATGCTTGCCTACCTTTTTAATGGCATAGGCAGGTTGCTGCAGTTGTACGAAGCTGCAGAGCAGAAATGAAGAAAGAAGAAGATGAAACATAGTTGAGCCCATCAATTTGCTTCGCTTGAATGTTGACACTGTGATGAGCGAGACTGGCCACTCCAACTGGTCTCTTTATATAAATCCGTTCTCACGTGTTTGTGGATGAATGGAACTTTTCTTTCTTATTCTTCCTCTTCTTCCTTTTTTTTTTTTTGCATTTTGTCTTTTTTTTTTAAATGTAATATACAATTGGCCTACCATGATTTTTATTCAGTTGTTCCAATAATCTTGTCGGCGTACATCTATAGTGTATTTCTTGAAGTGTTCCGGGAGAGAAGAACTAAAAGATCCCCAAAATTTGCTATACAACTTTAATACTACCTCAAGTACAAAATATAGGAAGTTAGGAACTAGAGGGATATATAACAGCCCTATGCACTTTAGCCTCTCAAATTTATAATTTTTGCCTAAGTATTTTTATTAATTTATAATTACAATATGCACATAATTGAAAATGGTATTTGAAAACATGTAAAAAAGAAAATGGTATTTTGAAAATACTGTTACACATTTATTAAAAATAACTAACTAAGCTAGTTTCATTAATTAAACATTTAATGAAAATTGTTATCAATTTTCTAAAAAAAAAAAATTAAGAATTCCCAACGATCCCAATTATAAAATGGGAAAATTATGCAGAAAGGCCAAATGAATGAGATATCTAGGATTAAGGACCAATTCTTGAAACTTAGTGCAGATCTTCCAAAATATGCAGTTGGGCTTTAACCGACTTTCGGAATATTTGTGATTAATGATTCCCGAAGCTGGATTGGAGATTTGCAATATGCGTGGTCCTTCCATTCTTGGTCTTTCCCACCAAATATCTAATTCATTCGGTCCTTCTGTACATTTTCCCTTAAATAACTGTGATTTTCTCATTTGTGACGATCTTGACATTGGCGAGATGTGTGCATGTGTGAATGTAAAGACATTCTACTACTTAAATAGCCATTCGATCAAGTAATTTTTTCCATGAGAAAGCCAATAGTTCATAAAAAGGTCGAATTTAACACACACACACACGCACACACGTCTTATTTATGCATGAGAAAGACAATAGTTCATAAATAAGGGATTTGTAGTATTTTATAAATATTTATTTTTATTGATAATGGTATTGTACCAGGTCAACAGGTATGAGGCTTTGGTTTGGTACCGGTACTCTCATTTTAGGTAGGTAAGGTGAAAAAAAATTTGTAGAGTAGTAGAACTTTTTGCATATAAAAATCTATTAGGTTCTTCTCAGTAATAAAATTTTCAATGGGAGATCTTTTCTCACGTTTTCTTATAAACGATTAGGTGCTATAACGTTCTCAGACCAAACAAAACGTTGCAAAACTAACAGATTTTGGTAATTTTTGACGCCTAATACTTGTTCGTTCAGCATAAAAGCATCTAGAAATTATTTGATGCTTTTTTTAGAAGAAGAAAAACGGAAGATGAGGAAAAAGAAAAACATAAATTAAAGAAAAATAGATAAAGGAAAAATAGAATTGGAAAGAAAACAGTAATGGAGAACAAAGACGCATACATGAAAGAAGAGGAAGAAGAAAAGAAGACAGAATGGGATGAAAGAAAAAGAATCATAAAGTAAAAATGTACAAATAGAAAAGGGAGATGGGAGGGCATGAGAAAGAGGAGGAAGTGGGATAGAAAAAAGAGCTGAGAGAGAGATCTTTTGTCTTGGGCACTGGAGTGAGTACTATTTTTTTCCATAAGGACGTGAAAATAAAGAATGGGGTCTAAAGGTGACAGGACAGGACTAGACATGTAACAACCAAGCTGCTGGTTAAAAAAAAAAAAAAGACATATAACAACCAAGTTTTTATAACATTATTAGGACTTTTTTTTCTGTGCAGATAATGTGTACCTTTTGCAGCCAATGAAAAAAAAAGGACCGGACCGGCCGATTCAACCAGAAAACCGGTGAACCGGCCTCCAGTCTGGTTTAGTTTGAAGAATAAACCGGCTTCATATCAAACTGGAAAAAACTACAATGAATCGGGGAAAACCGAAAAAATTGGTGGGTTGGATGGGTCACTGGTTTTTTTCCTCCTTTCTTCTTTTTTACTCAGCATCTCACCGTTCACCAGAGAAGACATAAACACAGTTGAGAGAAGGAGTAGAAGCAGAAAAAATCATGGAAAAAAAGACGGAAGTCTCTTATCTGCCGCTTCAAACCCATGTTCGTGGAAGAGTGTAAGGCAAGGAGGAAGATAAGTAATGGAATAGAATGGATATGCAGGGAGGGAAAAAATATCACTGTTTATCGTTTCTCTCTGAGAAAGAGGGAGAGATGAAGAGAGCTGTTTGAGAAAGAGGAAGGAACGAATTTCAGAGTTTGAATGAGGAAGAGAACTATTAACAAGTAATATGTCATTCAATCAAGAGAAAGGACGAAAAAGATGACCTTGCGTAATCGGCCATTCAATGAGGGGGGAAGAAAAAAGTGACCTGACATGTGCTATGGACCTTCACGTGAGAGAGAGAGAAGGAAGAGATAAAAGTATAAAATAATAAGGAAAAAAAAAAGATGGTATTGGGCCATGTGAAGAAAAAAAGAAAGAAAAGAAATAAAAAGAAATAAAAAAAAGAAAAAAATTATATACATAAATATTTTGTAATTAAATTATATTATTTTAATTATTATCGGTTTAACCCTGATTTGACCCATTAACCCTTGACCTATTATCTCAACCAATTTAGTATCCGGTCTGGTTTTTTGTTCTTTGTTTGCAGCTAATTTAGTACCCTTGACTCTGTCTGAATATAAGATTTTAACATACTTTGTTTTTTATATTTACCTATTTTTAATCAAAGTAGCTCACATTATGATTGAAAATTTTAAAAGTTTCATAATAGGGATAGGATGATTTCAATGCATATGATTAATAAGAATATTTTAAGAAATACAATACCTATTTATATTGCAAATAACTAAATTAATTTTTTTAATATCTATAAATAAGTTATTTAGTTTTAATATCAATAAGAGCAGGCAGTATCCATTTGTGGCTTTTCAATCCAATTTCTTTCTCTCTCACGCCCAAATACAGTGAAGAAGGGGAGAAAAGTACTTCAATTCAAAAGAGAACAAGAAGAAAAGTTAAATAACAAAACGGACAAAACTGATTCATCGGAGCAAATATGAGAAGGGGGGCTCATAAACCTGTAATATCAGAGCATAATTATCAATCGGAAATTTTTATATCTAGCCTTACAAAGTTTGACATTGAGTAGATTAATACTACCTCTAATGCTAAATGAACACAAGATATAGTTTATGATAAAAATTACACTACAAATTATATTTTGTATTTAGAGTCCGATGCAATATTAGAATTAGTGGTGCAATTTGTTGAGTTCCTTACTCAAAATAGGTTGAAGGTCTTGTTCAGAAAGGCAAACAAGCCAGTGAGGATACCCCCTATTCAATCTCATCCTGATGAATTTAATTATAGTATTATGGATTAAGAAAATGTTGCCGCTATAAATTGAAGATGATGAGGAGATAAAGTTGTTTTGTTTGTTGTCTCATTGCCTCCCTCTTATATTATTTAAAAAAGTTATGTTGCATGGAAATTCAGGTATATATCTTTACCTCTGAAGAGGAGGAAGAAAAGAAGAAGGTTTTGATTTGAACGAAATCTTTAGGTTTATTCAAGCCACACCCTCCATACTAGAACAAGAGGCTCCCAGGACATAAATAATTAAAGACACGAACATAATTATTAGGAGTTCAGGCCCTTATGAGTTGTCCAATTATGATGGTTTCAAAACTAAATGAGTGCTTGGCCTCAAAAACTTTCTCCAAAATTGATCCATGGTTGAACCAAATCGTGGATTTTTTTTTTTTTATAACATACAGATTTTAATCTTGCTGCTAACAAATTGATCCTATAGATTGAGAAGGCCTTTTGCATCCTCCTACTTTTTAAAAGGGTGGTTTTATGAAGGTGAAAAACAGGGGTAGTTTTTGAAGCACATTATCGTTTAATTGGGAAAAAAAAATGTAAAGTTGAAGACTAATTCTAACTTCTCACTCCAATTCACATGGTTCCGTAAAACGGATTCTACATCATGGACAGGGAGTAATTAGTGGTACAAAAAAGCTTTTTTACCTTTAAACTGATTTTAAGACCCCTGTAGATATAGGCGGTGTAGACTTTTTAATGCTAGTTTTAGATTCTATACTAGACCAATGTAAGAAAAAAAGATGTTTTTCCACTAATTGCATTTAACTGCTGTAGAAAAGATAATAAATAAGAATAATCTACCTGCTTATCAAATCTGGTAACGTCTGACTTCGTCTTATATTTTGATATTGGATCCTTTTATATAATTATAATTTTTATGATCCTTTCAATAAATATCATTTTATTTAGGTTTTTTTAATTTTCCCCAAATTTTTGGCCAAAATAAAAGGAAATAACAGTTGAAATATCACACTATATATTATTCCTCCAGTCCTAAATATAAGACCCACTTTGCAGTTTAATTTACATTACAAAGTGGATCTTATATTTAAGACCGGAAGAGTATAATACAAAGGCCTAGCTTATGAATTAGTCTAGCCCGTTGGACAGGACATTTTTTTTCCAGCCTCAGACACGCATATCGGGTATGCAGGCCTCATGCACACCCCTTATGTCTTATAATTAAGACATGAGAGGATACTTAATTAATTGTCATTCTCAATAGTTAATATTACATTTGGGAAGATAAATTTTCTCATGTCTTTTTTATAAGAGCTTGATACCCGAATTATGTGATTGAAGAAAATAGTTAAAATTAGTTAAAAGTAATAAATATATAAAAGAAGAATTTTTTTTTCCTAAGAACGCTTTATTGATAAGAGGCAAGTGAGAGAGAAAAATATAAAAGAGTGTACAATACAAAGTTGTCATTTGTCAATCTTTAATGCAATATATGGAATTAATTAGGAGAAACAATAGTAAAAACACATTAAATGTTTAAGCAGCCACAATTGGAATCTTGTAAAAAAGACCAAGACGATTCAAATTTTAGGCTTTTATAAAAAAGACTAGAGGGAGTAATTAATTGTCATTCTCAATGGTTAATATTACCTTTCATCCTTAATGTAAGATATAGTTTGTAGCACAATTATACTCCCTTTTATCCTTTTTATAAGATCTCAAAATTTAAATTGTTTTATTCCTTTTTATAATAAGATCATACTTAGCGTTGTCTAAACATTTGTTCCTATTTAATTTTCTATTCTCTCTTCTTATCTTTGTCTTATATCACATTCTCTTTTTCCTTTTCTCTCATTATTAATATTTCTCTCTCTTATTTAGTTCTCCATTAAATAAGGACACACTTGAAAAATATTTATTTTTTACATATTTATTATTTATAATTAATTTTTACTGTTTTCTCAAATGGCATAATTTAGTTCAAAGGGTCTTATATAAATTGTTGGAAGAAGGTATTGTAAATTTGATTAACATAAATTAGAGATAAAATTTAAACAGATCTTCTTAATCAAGCTGTTTCTGAAGCTCATGAAAGTGTTGGGAAAAACAATAATGATGAGTTACGTACTGTTACTGCTGAAAATTAAGAAACAAAACAAAACCCCAAAAAGAAAACAAAGAAAAGAAAAGAAAAAGAAGTGAAACTTAATCACTTTAAAAAGGAAAAATTTAACAGATTCAGATCATCATCTACTTTGCATCCCTGAAACCACGATAACATTGAAATTAAAAGAAAAAAGGTTGGTTGAAGCAATATTATATTATTGGCTAGTTAATCTTTCTTAAGGTCAACTATTGCCTGCAAGGCCAATCCATGCAATAAGATCAGTATCATCAACTTGAACATCCCAATCCTCAGATACCCACAATTTACAACCACCAACGCGACTCGCCCACCGAACTAATTATATTCCATCTTTGAATATATTCCTGTTGCTGTGGAAAAACAATAATGATGAGTTCCTGTTGCTGTGGAAAAATCAATAACAAAACAAAGGAAAGAAAAGAAAAGGAAGGGAAATATCATCAATTTAATAATAAAGGACAACTTTAACAGATCGAGATCATCATCTACTTTATATCCATTGAGACAAGGATGACATAAAACGAAAAAAGCTTCGTTGAAGCAATAGTGGCTAGCTAATCTTTCTTGAGGTCAATTATGTTTGCGAGTCTATCGCAAAATATTATTTTATACCAAGAAATCAGTGCCTACAAAGGCCAATCCATACGATAAGAAGGTCTGTCCCAAGCCTCAGATAGCCACCATTTACAACCACCAACTTACCCGCCATTAATATTCCGTCTTCGAATATATTCCAAGCTGATTCAAAAATTTACCGAAAAATAAAACATGCCTGAAAGAGATTCCACTAAGCTGCTAGCATTATTCTTCTGTGTTGCTTCCTTTGCATCTGTTGTTGCTGGAGACAGAGAAGCAGAAGCGCTGCTGAAGTGGAGAGATAGCTTTAACGACCGAAGCAAAGCTATCATGTCCTCTTGGAGGAATGGTACTAATCCCTGCAGACACTCCTGGAGCTGAATTTCTTGTGATGAATCCATGTCTGTGATCAAGATAAGGCTGTCAAATCTTAGCCTTCAGGGTACACTTTCCAGTCTCGACTTCGCAACCTTTCCTAATCTCCTCTACTTCGAAATAAATTCCAACCGATTTGAAGGAAAAATTCCACACGAAATTGGTAATTTGTCCAGTATTTTGATGTTGAGCTTGTCAGATAATCCAATTAAGGGTCACATTCCTCCTGAAATCTGGAATCTAACCACTTTAAATATTCTTGATCTTAGTTCATGTAATCTCACAGGACAAATTCCCCATGAAATTGGAAATTTGAGGAATTTGAATCTCCTATTGCTTGGACAAAATTCCTTTTCTGGTCATATTCCTGAAGAGATTGGAATGTTGAGCCAACTTTTGGAGCTTGATTTGGGAAGAAATTCTGTTAGGGAGAATTCCATCATCAATTGGAAACTTGACCATGTTAGAAAATCTTTATCTTTATGAGAACAATCTCACGGGTCCTATTCCCACTGAATTTTGGAAACTCTACTCTCTCATTAAAATTCATTTAACTTACAATAGATTTTCTAGGGCAATCTCTCCCTCTATAGGAAACCTACCAAATCTCAAGCGATTGTCCCTTTCTAAGAACAGATTTTTTGGTCCAATTCCTCCATCTATTGGTAACTTAATCAATGTATATGATTTCATCCTTCAAAACAACAGTTTTTCAGGATTTATTCCTTCCACTATTGGAAACATGACAAAGCTCACCTCCTTGTACCTAGACAACAACAATTTCAGTGGTCAACTTCCATGAAAAATGAATAATTTGACAAGGTGGTATAGCATACAACTGAGTTATAATCATTTCAGTGGTCCTTTGCCACAAAATATTTGTCAAAGTGGGATGTTAGTTAAGTTTGCTGCTAATGGTAACCATTTCACTAGTCCTATTCCAACAAGTTTAAAGGATTGTTCAAGTCTAGCAAGACTCAGGCTTGAAGATAATCAAATAGTTGACAATATAACAGATGCTTTTGGGATATATCCTTATTTGTACTAAATCGATCTAAGTGAAAATCAATTGTATGATCACCTTTCGTCTAAGTGGGGGAAGTGTCAAAATCTCACACAATTGATTCTTCACAATAACAAGCTTTCTGGTGATATACCACCAGAACTAAAAAGGGCAACTAAGCTTGGTTCACTTAACTTGTCTTCAAATCATTTGTCTAGAAAAATTCCAAATGAACTAGGGAAGTTGAACAAATTGATGAAACTCTCTTTGAGCAACAATAACTTCTCTGGTAATGTTCCCTTAGATATGAGATCACTTAGTCAGCTTGAGAGTTTGGAGTTAGCAGCAAATAACTTCATGGGTTCAATCACAAGAGAGCTTGGGGAATTAAAAAGCTTAAGGGTCTTGAACTTGAGCAAAAACAAATTTGATGAAAGCATTCCCTCTGGGTTTGGTGAACTCCTAAAACTTGAACAACTTGATCTTAGTGACAATTTGCTAATTGGAACAATACCATTAAGGTTTGGAATGTTACCTAACTTACAATTTTTGAATCTCTCGCACAATAATCTCACTGGCACCATTCCTCTTGGCTTTAGTGGATCAATGTCAGCTCTGTCTACAGTTGGCATATCATACAATCAATTAGGAGGCCCTGTTCCAATCAAATTGGCCTTTCACAACTTTGATGCATTGAGGAATAATAAAAGCTTGTGTGGTAACGTCACTAGTTTAAGTCCCTATAGTGATTTTCAAACAAATGGATGTGGCTACAAGAGCAAAAAGTTCTTGATAATATTCCTCCCATTGGCCTTACTACTACTAGTACTTGTTGGAGCATCTTTCAGTTTTGCTCGAACAGCAATGAAAGCAAATAGCAAAGATGGAGAAACTCTATCAGAAGATGTTTATTCTGTATGGAGTCTTGAAAGAAAAATATTGTACAAAGATATCATTGACGCCATAAAGGAATTTGATGAAAGATATCTCATTGGGAAAGGGGGCCAAGGAAGTATTTATAGGGCTGAGTTGCCTACAGGTGATGTTGTTGCAATAAAGAAGCTTCATTCAATGCCAAGCGTGGAAATCTCCAACCAAAAAGCTTTCACAAGTGAGATTCAAGCTTTGACAGAAATCAAACATCATAATATTGTGAAGCTATATGGGTTTTATTCCAATTCACAATTCTCCATGTTGGTTTATGAGTTCTTTGAAGGTGGAAGCTTGGACAACATACTAAAGAATGATGAACAAGCCATTGTGTTTGACTGGAAAAAGAGGGTGAATGTTGTCAAAGGTGTGGCCAATGCTTTATTCCATATGCATCATTGTTGTTCAATTCCTATTGTTCATCGTGACATATCAAGCAACAACATTCTTCTAGGTTCTGACTATGAAGAAGCTCGCATCAACGACTTTGGAACAGCAAAGTTTTTGAATCCTAACTCAAACAACATGACCACATTTGCTGGCACATTTGGGTATGCTGCACTTGGTAAGACTACCTTTTTGCCTCTTCTTTCCAAAGTATTAATCTTTGCTATATCATGGATATCTATATAACATTAAATCCTATTGCAGAGATTGCTTTCATTATGAAAGTGAACGAGAAATGTGATGTTTATAGCTTTAGAGTATTGACCTTAGAAATCATTATGGGTACACATCCCGCGAAGCGTATTTCATCTTTGGCAGGGAATTCAATCAATAATGATTTGTTGTTAAGTGATGTGCTGGACTCACGACTTTCTCCACTCACAAAATCAATCTTAGATGATGTGATCTTAGTTGCCAAAATAGCTTTTTCATGCTTGAGTGATTCTCCTCAGTCTCGTCCAACCATGGAACAACTATCTACACAGCTTGCAAGGACACCAAAATCTCATTCAGAGGATCAATTTCACACCATCACAATTGGGCAACTAATGAGGGATTGAACTTCATTTGTAGGTCCGTCTGCAATTGTATAAAAGTGTTGCGCTTGATGTTTTAATGTAAATTTTGTAAGCTTGTGGTTTTTGTATCATATGTATGATCAGTTTGGGAACTGTATAAGACTGAAGGGAATTAATTGTTTGGTTCCAGCATTATATATCGTTTTAACTCTTGTAACATATAATGGGTGACTATGATCATTTTATGTCAGGTTTATGTCTTTTATTACTTCAATCAAAGGTTAAAAAGTAAAATTACTTGCATGGACTAATCTATCGCGCATGCTTTTTTTTTTTTACAGTATAATATAAAATTTTTTGAAATATTACACGCAATTGGACTGGAGAAGCACAGTAATATAGCATGATGAGTGTCCACCCTCTTATTTTAATACGCGTGTGTATTATGTATATTTCACTCGATGAGTTTTGTTTTGACATTACTTCCCTAATAAAATAGAAAAAGAATGAATCATTTGGTCCTTCAATTTTAAATTTGTTTAAAACTCAGTTCTTGTTTTTGTTATTAGCACAATATTCAACTTAATTAATGAGTAAAATCCATCGAAATTAATCTAAACTCTGTCTTATATAAAAAAAAATATTTATTCAAATAACAGTAAAATTTCCTAACATACTTGAAATCTTTTACAGTAAAATTTCCTAACATACTTCAAATAACAGTAAAATTAGTATTAGTACCACTACATTGATGACGACTCTGTAATTAATTTTGAAATGACACAAATATTACTAAAAATAGGGACTCGTTATTTTCCTTTTTCCCCTTTTAGTCTTTTTGTTTTTTTAACGGATTGTATGACATAGGGCAGGGCAATAATGTATGTGACTTATTACAATTTTTTTATGTAAAATGATTAATGAATTTTGATTCAATCCTTCCTTAAGAGATCAAAGCATATCTAACAAACATAACATAGATGTGTAACTCAATGAATTTCATTGATGTGAGTCTCATTTTATCTACTGTCTTGCTAAATCTTTCTCTTATTTTACTACTACTACCGTTACTACTACTACCTACTGCTGCTACTACTGCTACTGCTACTTATGAAGTCTTTCAACTTTGTAGAGAACCAGAGCATGGATCTGGATGAGGAAATAAGACATTTAATAACAAATGGGAAAATCATAAAATCCAAAAAAGTGATTTTGTCGTGAAAATTTCTGAAGTCAAACAAAACAATAACAAGAGCTTATGGTAAAACTTCTCACTTAAAATCATTGAAAGAGGTTATGGAAATTTTCTGAAGTAAAACAATCTATGTGCCAAACATCCTTTGTTAATGGATTCCATTGTTCTTTATTAATTTTTCTAGGGAGATTCCAAATATGGTAATGGTCGTCATATCATAATAAGATCTTAACAAAATAATTTCTTTTTTCTTAAAAAAAAAAAAAAGTATTCTTCGGATGCTGTGAACATCATGTTAAAAATGCGATTTAACTCGTAAAATCGTCCGTTTTTGCTTGTTTAGGTGTCTATATCGTGTTAACTCTTAAACAAAATCAGAGGTCAACAAACTCGAAGGAAACTCGCGTGGAATCGTAGTTGGACAGTGAAATCGCGAGTTATTTGGCGCGTCTACGGGTTGTATTCCCACGTTAATATGCTGCAATTTGTAGATGGTTTTAATTACTGCAGGGTGGCTTTAAACTTTTGATCATAGGATAGGCATTGGATGCCACGTGTTTGTAGTGTCTAGTAAACTTTTTTATTTTAAAACAATTTGTTCAAGTACTTTAATTGTAAAATTTTTAATTTATTTAAATAAACAGCTAAATATTAAATTTATTTTAACAAATCTCATTTATTAGACGCATGTTGGCTCAGCATTAAAATATTCATTTATATTTTTATCATAATCAACTAATTATAAACTGATTATATGTACGGTGGTAATTGGTATTTAATAATATGATAATATTTTTAAGCTAATTTTTAACAAGAGATAAATTCTTACAATTTCATGTTATGAGTTTGTATTATAAATTTATCTTTTCATTATCAATTTATTTAAACTCATGAGTTTGATAACCATAGTTGATGGATTTAATTTTAATGATTTGAATTTGATATATATTTAAAATAAATTATTGTCTTTTTATTTTAATTATTTAATTATATAATTTTAATAATTATTTATTAATAGAAGTAAACTCTTACGAGTTTACGATCCGAATTCATAATCATAGTTTACATCCTTCTCACGAGTTTACTTAAACTCATGAGTTTAACAACCTTGTGTGATACTTATAATCGATCGATGGGCACAAAATCCCTCGCTCTCTTTCATAAAAAGATTGTTTTTCCAAATGATTGAGAGTTTCGCAGGCGGGCATATTCCTTATACCTATTATTTCTTTAAAAGAATATAATTTGTGTGAGTCCTAGCTATCAGGTTTTTGTTTTCCCAGTTCTTTTGTATATTCACTTTGCGATGACCAAAGAAAAAGTTGAAATTGGCCAGCAAAACATAGATTGTTACGACCGTGCATGTACAAATAAAAATTACAAGACATCCTTTTTGTCCTCCATTTGGCATTTAGTTGCTATAGTGAATACATTAACATCTTAATTTAAAGATGCATGAACTCAACAGTATTGTTTTATTATAGAGTATCTGTTACTATATTATTCTTGTCATCTATGTGCTCTTCCGAGATTCTCCATTTAGTTATCGTCTTAAGATAAGGTCAATTGATTGAGTCACTTCTTCTCTTTATCTAAATTAAAGTAATGCACTATGTGCATGCTTTAATTACATCAATAGGCAAAGGAAAAAAGAAAAGCATGTCTAGCTCCTTGTCTCCTCCCTTCATTCCTTTTTTTTAATGAAGTGTAGCTATTCTAAAAGTGAGGGGCTGTGTGGCAGGAAATTAGAAGTCCTAGCTAATTAGATATGATTCTATACTTAGTGGGAGACCCAGAAGTCAAGAACTATATAACAACCCGTCTCTTAATTTCATTTTTAGGAACGTCTGAGGACTATCTTTACCTAATGATTTTACGATGTTCGTGATAAGTATGTGAGAAGAGTTTCATCTCAATTTACATGAAAGCACTTGTTTTTTTTAAGTGCTTTTGATGGTTTCCAAACACACCTAAATTAAGTAAAAATAACAAGCATAGTATAGTACAATACACTGAATGTGACAAATTCATAAATTGTAAACATAAATATATACGTGTAAATAAATTAACTCTTTAAAAATGATTGGCAGTATAAAAGAAAATAGAATGTTAAACAATTACTTCACAACGAAGAGCATCTTCCTTTGAGATAAGGTGGGACAGTGCTGTTTCATAAAGTTGTTTCTTCATATGACTCAAAAAAAAAAAAAGTATTTCTTCATATCCTTTAGACATTTGGGTCTTCATTTTTCCAAAACTAGATTGCATTGAAATAAAAACGAGACCATATAAGATAGAGAAAAACAAAAGTTTCACTCCCCACAAAAGTGAAGTTTCTTCATGTTTCATCACAGCAGTATAACTTCATGATATTCTGGTGGGAACAATTTTTTTCTTTTTACATTAGACATGTTTGGTGCATTAGACTTAAAAATAAGGGCGTTCAGGCATCGACAAGTAAAGAAAATATCAACAAAACAAAAAAAGGATTAGACTTTACAGCTCATAAGCCTCACTTATGTCATCTCAATTTGGAAATATTCAAAATAAAGGACTAAAAGAAATTAAATAATGTCTACCAATATTAGTTGGGGATGAGTGTTGGAACTTATAGGGAGTGGTTGGATTAGCATTTTCAAAAGTGATTTTATGATGTTCAAAATAAGTATATGAAAAACTTTTTATCTCGACTTGCATGAAAATATTTTTTTAAATTAATTCTAGTGTTTTACAAGCACCCCCTTAATTAATATGAATAGGAAAAAAATCAGATTTGAAGAGCTTTTAATGATTAGGGAGCCATGCCGCTCATGTTTGGCTTGATCGGTAATATCATATATATGTCGCAAAATTTAAAAAAAAAAATCATGCATGTGTAAGTTAAATAGTATTATTAGAATCTCTTGTCTACAAACAACTAATTAAAAACTATAAGAGAAAGATTAAGACAATAAATAAAACGAGATTCACATCAATGAAATTCATTGAGTCATATATACGTCTATCTTTTTAACATATGCTATGATCTCTCAAGAGAGGAATGAATAAAAATTCATTAATCATTTTATTTAAAATAAAATTTATAATAACTCATATTATTGTCATATGTCATAAACTCCATTCTTTTTTTTTTGTTGAGAAAAAGACAAAATGATATTAAATAATAATATAAATTTACGAGTTGCGAATAGTCATTGAAATGAAATGGGACCTCTAACAAATTGCAAAAAACTGAAATTGAAATGACCCTAAAGTCAACAACAACAAAAATTAAAAAGTAAAACTAAAATCTCCTGTCAGATGATATATTGAGAGTTAAAAAAATTTGTCGAGGAGTTGGAAGAAAAGTTGTGATAAACTCGAATTCAACATATATGAAACACACCTTATTTAAAAATCTATTCTCTCTACTTAACCTTGTCTTATCATCATGAAATACATACATATATACAAAGATTAAATGGAAGAAGAAAATAATGACTCCCTAATTTTATTAATATTTGGGTCATTTTCAAAAATAGTTAGGGAAAAATTATACACAAGTTCCTAACAACACAATTTATTAATATAAAGTCCCTTGAAATCTCAAAATGAATAAGAGATTCCTTGAGATCTGAGAATAATATATCCTCAATAAGAAATTACATCATTGTTTCTGTCCTGATTGACAACCTCATAAGCGTGGATTGATAAATCAATGGAAAGCTATTGACAAGTCAAAAAGTGTCAGTTAATAGCTAAATTAATGAGATAATATAACATTCACGTAAGATCAGAGTAAGGAAAAAGTATTATATAACAATCTTTAAGCTAAAATCATGTGTGACCAAAACATACACATTAATATAAGACAAAATAAGGGGTTTATATCATAATTTTGTTATGGACAGCCATTAACAAGCTTATAGGTACATATTAACAAGTCTATGGGAAGCTATTGACAAGTCAGAAAGTGTTAGTTAATAATGAGATTAAATTATAACAAAAGAGTATAAGAATTATTCTTAATTTTATCTTATATGGAGGTTATATTATCCCATAAATTTAATTGTTAATAAACACTTCTTGACTTGTCAATAGATTCCAATTGACTTGTTAATATATATCCATAGGCTTGTAAATGGTTGTCGGCAACAAAATTATTATATAAATCTATTATTTCATCTAATATTGATGTACATGCTTTGGTGACATGATTTTAATTTAAATATTGTTATATAATACTCTTTTGTTATAATTTGATCTTATATAAAAGCTATATTATCTCATAAATTTAGTTGTTAATTAACACTTTCTAACTTGTCAATAACTTTTCATTGACTTGTTAAACTACGCCCATGAGCTTGTCAATTGGGGACAGGGATAATGACGTAATTTTTTATTTAGAATATATTACTCTCAGGTACCATCACACCTTTTATTCATTTTAAAATTTTAAGAGACTTTAAATTAATAAATTGTGTTACTTGGGACCTGTGTGTAATTTTCTCAATAATTAGAGAGTCATACCCGAGGGGGTGTTTGGAAACACCGAGAAGCAATTCTTAAAGATATTTTTACATAAATCGGGATAAAACTCTTCTCACATACTTATTTCATATACCATAAATTTATTTTTAAAACTATAATTTTGTTTCCACTCAAATACTCTAGTAGTGTATGTTAATTTTGGATGTCTAGGTTGAGATACCTATGCCCTTAGCTATAAATATTGTTTCTTTTATTTAACTAGAGTCTCTATGCATGTCTTGTCTTTTTACTTTGTAGGGAACCCGATGAGCACTGAATAACAGGAGTATAAATGAAGAAAGAAATTTAATAAATGGGAAAATCACAAAACTAAAATCTACCATGCCTTATGGAAATCCTCCCATCATTATTTTTTTTGGGGGAAAAAAGTGACTTTTTCGTGAAAGTTCTGACGTCAAACAAAATAAAGAGAGTTCAAGGTAAAAACTCAATGCGACCTAGGCTCAATGGCATAACTTCACGTGAGGATATAATATTTAGACTCAAAATTTCCTTCTTTTTTTTTGGTCGGCACTCATATGGTGACTGGTGGGCCAGTAACTCATGATCCATCATATATAATTCCTTCTTTATCAAAAGCTAGATTTTTATTTTGATGGCTTCTGTTTATTCCACAGTCATATGTGCAGCGGGAACAAGGTGATGAGCGAAGAGTCATGTAAAACACACATCTCTAATTTATGCCTTAAAACAATGTATGATTCACCCAAAGATGTTTTCTTAGAAAGAAAATGAAAAAGTGAATTGTCTTCTAATTTGTGTTATGTTGTACGGGAGAGAGAAGGACGACTGCGACCAAAATGAAGGAATCAGATAAAAGATTTGTAAATTGAGAGGGACGACCTGATTTTTTTCTTTTTTTATTTTAAGTTGTATTCACAGTAAGAAGTATTTTCTGCTTAATATCTTAATCTAATTTTTTATTAGCATGTAACGTATTTTTCTAATAACACTGAGTATTATAAGATAATTTTTGCGCAATTTTTTTAAAATATTTTTTCAATAGCAAAAAAAAATCCTAAACTTAGAACATTGTGAGTGCTGTTAAAATATTTTAGGACATTAAATACATCAAAAATTAATTTAGAATACTAGGTATTACTAAAAAAAATATTTTATGGTGTTAGATGCACTAAAATTTAGTTTAGGATATTGAGGTCTATTAAAAAAATATTTTAGGTTTACCCTTTTTATATAAAAGCAACTTTTTTAAAAAGGATAAAAAGATAAAAACGTTACATGTATCTTGGGCCTCAGTGCAAGCAACATTTAGAGGTAAGAATATGAGCCGGCCTGACC